GAGAACTTAGTTCTCGAAGCTACCCAAATTGCATGACCATGATACCAATCTCTACTCCTAACTGCATACAGTCAAAACAACCCAAAGCTAGATCGCACCATCGAATCATCACTCTCATTGAGTCATCCCAAACTAGGCAAATTAACCAAACACAAGATGCTCACAAAAAGAAAAACACAATCATAGGGCAAGACTAGTCCATTCCCATAAATAGCTCTCTTACCAATATTCTTAATTTCACACAAGGTATACTATCTAAAATTCAAGACAAATTTCACACATAACTAGCCTAGCATAACTCATTAAAGAAATGTTCTCACAAAATAAATAAAAGAAAGCTCTTCTTGACCCAAAATTTTCCATTTTTTTTTTCATAAATAAAGAGAGTTATGGAATTCTCCAAAAAAAAAAAAAAAAATGAAAACAGTTAAAAGTTATACACATCATAAGGTTTGATATAACCCCTTTACTCACCAATGGGTTCACAACAAAAATTTAATTTCAATAGAACAACGTCTTACTCAATAAGTGAAATTCTACTCACAACAAAAATTTAATTTCAATAGAACAACGTCTTACTCAATAAGTGAAATTCTACTCCCAACTCTTTCCTCAATCAAGAAATAACTAATGACTCCTAACCGTCCTCCAACCAATGACCCCATCACCTTTGCTGTGATGTCTCAACTCATTCCCAATTATTCAAATAACAATAATATATAACTACTATAGAGTCAAAGAAAACAACAAACAAACTGGACTCACAAACTAGGTAAGTCACATACCGCCACCACAGTCCTCCAAGTACACACTACTTATTTCATGTTTTCAACACGAATTTCACTACTAACCCTATTATGGAAATCACACGCAACCAACCTGAGACAAGCATCAAATACTTAACACAACTAGTCACTTCTGTCAATGATATAACCACGAACCAACAAGTCTCATTACTACAATTCCCTTCTGAAGTCTCTAGCCTACTCGCCTCTATCCAAACTATTATCCCAGATAGGTAACCCAAGAGGAGGAATGAATTGGGTTATTAAAAATAATTTCACAATATTAAATATAATAAATAAAATATTCAAATTTTAACAAATAAAAAACAAAGTAGTAATTATCAATATAAAAGTAAAAGAGATAGGGAGAGAAAATCAAACATAGGGATTTAACGCCCGGCCTACGTCCACTCTTCAAGGACCCTTCTCGAGAGTTTCTTAATATCAAAACGAATCAATACAACACCAAAGCTTCACCAAGCTTGTGGATTTTACACAGGTCTTACTATTATCTATTGAGTTTCACTCAACAATAAATGTGTGACAACCCCGTCATGTACTATGCCTTTAATCCTTTAATTTTGCATGTTCTTATGTGCTCAGTGTGAATATCAATATTAATTATGTGATTAATGTGGATTTTGACACCATATGTGTTGACTGTAGGAATATCTATTATGATTTCTTTTATAATCTGAAAGTTTAAGGCCTTAATGGCATCATAAACCGAAAATGATTAGGTTATTGAGATTGGCATAATTTTTAGAGCCTATTGGAAAGTTCAATTAAAATTTGATTCAAGTTAAATTAATTAGATTAAATTAATTGGAATTAAGTGAGATTAGTTAACCTTAAGCTTACTTAATTAGTCTAAGCTAATCTAGCCTATATATATATGTTGTAATTACGAATTTGAGCTAAAGAATTTTATTTGGTTAAGTTTGTAAGTGTTAGATAGAGAAGGAGCTGAAGTCTATAGAGAGAAAGTCTAGAAATTGGAAAATTTTGCTTGAAGATTAAAGAATTAAGGAAGACAACTCAAGTTCTTGCTAGAATTAGTGTTATTGAAGACTTTAGGTAAGAGATTAGCCCCTAATTCATGAGTTTAAGCCATTTAATATGTGAATTCAAGAAGATTATGTGGTTAAATGCAAGAATTGAGCCTAGGATGAAGAAATTGAAGCTAATCCATACATGCATGCATGATTTTGTTGAGTTTCACAATTTTGAGCATGATTCATATCATCTATGATGAAATTAGAGGATGTATCATACATGCATTCATAATTCACAAAGTTTTGAATTTAAATTTCATATTTTGAGAGCTTTGGAAAAGAATTTAAAATTAAATTCAACATGCATGAAGATTTGGGTTTCATTTTGAAGAATTCTTGAAGTTTTGAGCTAAGGGTTTAAAATTGGGTACATGGTTGTGTTTTTGAAAGGGTTTCTAAGTGTTCTTCTAAGTTGTGAATGAGTCATGCAAAATCATGATTTTAAACTATGTGTTTGAAGTTCAACTATGTTCTAGAAATTTCAGAATTCTGCCTCACTGCTCAAGCGAACAATGTATTGCTCGAGTGCACATTTCATGCATCCAGTATTTTTGTAGGCATTTGCAATTGGCTCAAGAGACCGCCTTTTATTTTGCACCTTGGCTCGAGCAACCATCGAGCTTAGATTCGGACCATCCAGTACTTTTGCAGACCAAGGGGACCGCTCGATCAACCAATGTTGCACTCGAGCAAAGTGCCCTATTTTTGCATATTTCAAAAAGTCATATCTTGTTCGTAATTCTGTTCTCATTCCTTTATGAGTATTCTTAGGCATGAACAGAGCATTCTAAATGAATTAAAGAGTTAGAGAGAAGCCTAAGAGAATTGAACAAGTTAATGAACAAATTGAATAAGCATTGTGATCCAATTTGTGTATGTGTTTATGAATTGTGTAGGACCATCCACGAGGATGTATCCACAACCGAATCATTGTGAGTAATATCTTAGTAAAGATATTTTTGTATATCTTATTTTCTAAATGATACTAATATGGTAAGTATTCAAAACTTATGATTTTGTGTTATCAATGAGTCTTCTATCTGCTAATTCATAATAAATATGTGCATGTGATTGATGAGCATGAAAGCATATGATAGACCTAAGGTTGTTCTGTATATCTGAAATGGACCCACGATCATTCTATATATCTGATAAGATGGACCCGAGGTCGTTCTGATTATCTAATTCTTTGTACATCTGATAAGTCTGAACATCTGTTATGTGTTGAGCCAATGGTCATTTTACAGTTGTTATGTGTTGAATAGACCCAATGTTGTTATGCTCGAGGTTGTTCTGACAAGTATGATCTGTTCTACTCTGTATCTCTGTATATGTTGAACCTGAGATCGTTCTGTCATATATTGGACCCGAGGTTGTTTCGTTATGTTATGAAACTATTATGAGAATGTCTTTATTCAAGAACTAGAACTTATTCATATAACCTCTTCAGTCTGATGTTATTCACTAGGCTTTTGCTCACTCCATTTATATATACGCATGTAGGTGAGCAGCGGGATAGCCAGCCCCAACCCTAGTGAACCTGTGAAGGAATACCAAGTTTTTGTGGAGTCAATCAAGGATGCCTCACGCATTCCGTCTTTGTACATCCAGTCTGAAATGAATGTTTAAACAAGGTGTGTTGTATGATTGTGAGTTATTAACGTATAAGATGTTTCTGTTTATGTCATATATGCATAGCTCATCAGACAAAATTTTATTATTCAACTCCCGTTTCTGGCCCCATATAATTAAATATGGTTTGATTTTTGTTTAAGGCCGTTGGTAATCTCATGATTACTAGTCGGTTATGATCCAAACCTCTAGGGGTAGGTTCGGGTCATGACAGAGTGGTATCAGAGCACGAGTTAATAACTCACTCAACAATAAATGCCTTACCCAAAATTCTCTCACAAAATAATGAGTATAGATAAGAGGTACTTCAACCCTCTTTTACAATATTTCTCTCACAAAGAGTAGATATGAAAGTGTAAGAACAAATGCAACACTTAGATCTGAAAGTGAAAGAGTAGAATGAAAAATACAATCACAATTTCGGAACACACACATTTTTTTCTTTTCAAGTGCTTGATTTTTCTCTACACAAAACACTTCTATTTATATCCTAAAATCTATTTATTGGGAGATGTGACTCTCCTTGACAGAATAGCCACTCCATCATCACACGGCGCTTCTATAGACAGCTTGTGGAAATGCAGCTCAGCTCACTTTTTTCTTTTTCAAAGTTTTGCATGCAAGTTGATGTAACAACCCCCCAAGGTTTTGAATATAAAACTCAATCATTCTCATTCAATCAACACTTTTGAATATAATATAATATATATATATATATATATATATATCTTCATATTATATTATATATTTATATAATATATTCAAATGATGCAAAATAATTGCTCATGATACGCATCACGTGGGTGTGTACTACATACAAAAAGATGCAAAATAAATTTGAATTCGGTGCAACATGTATCAAAAAGATAAATAAAATTTTATATTTGATGTCAAATTATTATAACATATGTATATTAAAAAATTATAATTTATCAAATAATATTTTATACATCATGACAATTAAACAACATGATTAATAATTTTTCCTTTTTGATGATGGCAATATAAGTATGGATTTGACACAAAATTAAAATCAACATCAAAATCTTTTGAATTTTTTGCAACTTAAAATATTTGATAATTGAAGCACATGCCCAATTTAAATTCATATTTTTTTGTCCCGTTGACATCATCAAAATAAAAGATTGATATATGAAATTTTTACAGAGAAGAAAATTTTCAATGCCCAAAACAAAAATCATAGAAACACATTTGAGCAAATAATCTGATTTGAAAAAGAATATAATAATTTCTCTTATTTCTCCCCTGTGATCATTTTGAGATTTGGTATCATCACCAGAAAAAACGGTGTAACGACGCCCAAAATGTTGACAAATAAGAGATTTGAGCAGATATGCATCAATTATTGGATCGGTGGTGTGTATAAAAAAGTGACGTAGATGATGTGCATAGATACGAAACCTTCAAGTGTTCTAAGCAAAAAGATTTGAGTACAATTTGTGTAATCATGTCATTCCCTACCTTGGCCATCAATGGTTCTGACGTTAATAAGGTGCTTGAAATTCAGGCAAATGAAAGGTTACCTTACAGTATATTTGCACACTATTCCAGTAGTTGAGAGTTCTAGTGTATTTGGTAATCGTAATGATGCTGATGCTATTAATAACACTATGGCTCTTACTACACAGACAATGACTAAGGTTTACAATATGGCTCTACGACTATAAGCAAGAATCAAAGAGAACCAGCGATTAAAAGAAGAGGTGAGCTACTTAAAACAACAACTGGCTAAGACTTGTCCGGCGAAGAGAGATCTAGATAGGAATAATTCTCAGTATTAGAATGCTATGCAATATTATGCAACCGTTATAATGCCAAGACTCGTAAAAGTCAAAAATAGAGAGATGCATGTAAGGGAGGCTCATGAAAAGCTATTGAGAGAAGTTAAACGCAAAAAATCTATGAAGCCTTTTCAAAACTCACATGTGATCTAGAAATATTTTCTCCTTCTGAAATAAAATTGCAAGCCTTTCTCTTTGTCAAAAAAATTGTCTATCTTTGTTAAAAAAAGAATTTTTGGTGCAAGAAATAAATTATTTGATAATTAAGTAAACTCCTCTTGAATTTATGCATAAAATATACAAGCTCTTCTATGTCTATTTCATTCTCAAAATATCACATAATAAGAGTCTTCTCCTAAATTAATGCACTAAAAATTACACAAATGATTAGATTTAAAGGAACTGATTACCAATTTATAATACCAAGGGCCATTAAGATCTGGCCATATACAACTACACCGAGTGCATTAGCATAAAAAGAAAAAATACAAATAAAAATAATTTCTTCATACCAGGAAGAAGCAATTGTTATTAAATACAAGAGAGTTTGTAGCACATACAACCAAACAAGAAATATAAGACATTGCAAAAATAATTTTAACATGTTGATAGGAAAGTGAAGCTGGTGGATGTAAGGATCAGTGATGATGACAAAGATCGGCGACGATGATGAAGATCTTTGATGATGGTGAGGATCTGAGATGATGTTGAAGATCAAAAAAGAAGGCGAAGATAGAGGATGGATTTTGTGTGGATCGGGGACAGATTTGTGTAAATCGGGGATAGATTTGAGTAGATTAGAGACAGATATGTGTAGATCGTAGATAGATTTAGATGGATGATGGTGGTGATGGAGTTGGTGGATGATGGTGTTGAATAATGGTGGTGATGGAATTAGTGGATGACAGTGGTGATGAAGACGGTATTAGAGGATGAGAGGGAGCGAGAGTGGATGAGAGAGGATGACAATGGTGATGAAGACGGTGTTAGAGGATGAGAGGGAGCGAGAGCGGACAAGAGAGAGAGAGAGAGAGGGAGAGAGAGTCAGAGAGCGAGAGTGGGACGACAAGTGGGTGTGTGGGTGTGGGACGACAAGACGGTGTTAGAGTTATGAAAGTTATGCTGTACAAACGCTTGATTTTAAACTATTTTGACCAAAACTATTTTAGATCTTAAAACCCTCTTTCTCAAATTTTTTTAAAATGTTTCTACGATGTTCCAAGACTTACATTTCGTTTAAAATATTATATTTTTTGATAAATCGAGTAAGGACATAGTGGAAATAAATGAAAGGGAGATGAAATCTATGAAAAATATTTAAAAACATCTTATTTAGAGGTTTGGAGTAGAAGAAAATAGGAAGGGAGGAAAGAAAATTAGTTGGAGAAAAAGTTGGGCATCAATCCGTTAGGATAGAAATGAGCAACCTTCATTAAAATATGTATATCTCTTTGTACACTTATAATTTAGATGTGAGACCACCACAAGTAGAAAGTAGACTTCTGGGGCTTCAATTTAGACTCAAGAATGACCTAAAACCAAGTTTGGATAATGGAGATATGCCCGTTTGAAGTCGAGCCTGAAAATAGATTTTTGTCTGGCCGGCCACTAGTGGCCTGTCGCCCACTTGTGTAAAACGGAGATATGTTTTGCTAGCTGTCCCCACAGATGCATGCACCACACCAGTTGTCTCTATATGGATATTTCTGAGATATCAACCTATGTTTCTATATATACTTGACATTCCCTCATGTTTTTAAGGTTACAAAAAATTCCAAAAGCCCCAAAACTTGAAATTCTCTCTATCTCTATCTTGCAACACACACACCTTACCCAAACACTTCCTAAAACAATATCTGAGCTCTCATTGCAGAGATTATTGAGTCTGAATTTCAGTCATTGAGAGTGAGAGGTTAACAAAAGAGTTGCATTGCTTCAAGAGGTATAATTTTGAGCATCTTTGCACTACTTCTTTCCTCTCTTTTCTTGCTGTTTTTGAACTATTTTTACACTGTTTTTATGGGCTGAAACTTGTGGCTAAAAGCTATCAAAGGTGGAGGGGTTAACCACCCTTCTTTGAACCTTGTTTCCTAAGCTTTTGCCCTTGTGTTCCCCATCATTTCGTCAACTTTTTTTGAGTTTTTTACCACTAATTTTCAGAGTTTTTCAGAGGCTGAAAATCATGTTTTGAGGTCCCAAAAATGGAGGGGTTAGCCACCCCTCCCTTAGCTTGTTTACTAGCATAAATTCTTTATTATTGTAGCTTACTCCTTTAGCTCTTTTGACTTCAATTCCAGCACTTTTTAAGCCCATTTTAGGACTGTTTTAAGTTGTTCATGTCATTCATGCTTTGTTTGATATGCTTGTAGTGTACTGGTCCTCATAGATTTGGTGTTTTAGCCTTTGGACACCAACCTATTTGAGTTGATAGCATTTATGTAGTGTTTTCTATACTTGTGGTCACCTCTAATCATCTTTGCAACCTCTCTCATTTCTCAGCTTTTCCTTTGCTTTCAGAGTAGTTTCAAACCGATTGTTTGTTTAAGCTTAAGATTGAGGTCGTTGTGCTTAATGGTTTAATCTCTTCGGAGGCTCATTACCAACGGTATGACATCTCTCTCATGTCCAAAACAACCCTTGGTTTGACACTCCTCTCCATTAGTGGACTTAAGGCTCATTCTTGGACTAAATGAATTAAGGAATGGAAAGGTAATTAAAAGAGGTGTTAAAATCAGAATAAAATGGGCCAAGATAATAACATAATTTGGTGTTCAATCGGACGTTACTTGAACACATGGAGACTTGAGTCATTTCGTACTTGTTAGTGATGAAGTGGTTCAAGTTTCCAAGTCAACCACTTCCCTTGATCAAATCATGATAGGGAGGAGGTTTGCGAGTCTTTCATTGTGCATTTATTGAAATTGTATCTCTTGGTTCATAAGTCATCATGCAATGAAATTGTGCTGATTGATGGCTTACTAATCGAGCCTACCCTCCTTTGAGTTGTTTGATGATAAGGAAAGGCAAGGTAGACAAACATCCCTTGAGAATGCTCTATTTGTGCTCTGTTTATTTTCTGTTGCAGCAGGAGAAACCCAACATTAGTGACCGGCAGGCCACTAATTTTGGGCTGCCAGCCACTTTTTCCAAAAAGGCAGTGCCTCTTTTCCAGCAGAACAGAGCAGAAACTGAAGTGAAAAAAATTAGTGCAATCTCCTGACTGTGCAACAGAAGCATTCTAGTTGCAAAACGGAGAGCATTTTCAAGTGGAAATCCACATCCATGCATGAACCATCCCTCGATTCTTGGGATCTGTTAAAATAATGTTGTAATAGTAGTATGTTGTACTTAAAGTAGCAAGCTTGTAACTAATTAGTTAGTTTAATTAGAATAGCTAGTTAATTTTGTGTTGTACTTAATTAATTAGCTAAAGTAGTTAGTTAATTTGTGGTGTTGTAATAATTAGCTAGCATAGTTAATTTATTTCATTTGGGTTGTAATAGATTAGTTAATTCGTAATAATTAGTTAAGGCATTCATTCGGACCCTCATGTGCTAGGGCAAACTTGTAATAATGTGTATGTCTCCCAACCCCACGTCTTTCTCCCTTTTATTTATCCGCTTATAATGGATAGCATAGAGCATTATGTTTCTTTTAGCATTTTTCATGATTTGCATCCATTCGTCTTGCATGCATGAGGCTCGGCGCATCATTCTAACAAAGTATTGTCATTTAGATACTTCTTTGAAAATGTGCTTGAGTTGCATGCTATCAAGTTGATACACATATCATAACTAGTAGCCGAGCATATTTAGTTGCATATCACATGTGTTGCATTAGTCATGTTGCATTAACTAGGAACATGCATGTTTTCTAATTACTTTTGCTTTCTTTTGGCTTGATTTGGAGTACTACGTGAGCATTTTGCTTTAGGATCTTGGATGAAGTGTGATTGTTGCCATGTTGAGCATGATTACCATGAGACTAAGTGCTTGGTTGATATACTTGCTTGAATGCTTGTGGATGAAGGCTAATTGCTTAAATTGGGATAATTTGATCAGATGTACATATGAGATCACTTTTCCAAGTGGTGCATATTCAAAACAAATTATGCGCAACACATAATAAAGTTAGTCTAATAATCGGAACAAGAGTATATAATGTAAATAAGAATCACATCATGATTAGTAGAGGCCGATCTAACATGCATGTTTTCTAATTACTTTTGCTTTCTTTTGGCTTGATTTGGAGTACTACGTGAGCATTTTGCTTTAGGATCTTGGATGAAGTGTGATTGTTGCCATGTTGAGCATGATTACCATGAGACTAAGTGCTTGGTTGATATACTTGCTTGAATGCTTGTGGATGAAGGCTAATTGCTTAAATTGGGATAATTTGATCAAATGTACATATGAGATCACTTTTCCAAGTGGTGCATATTCAAAACAAATTGTGCGCAACACATAATAAAGTTAGTCTAATAATCGGAACAAGAGCATATAATGTAAATAAGAATCACATCATGATTAGTAGAGGCCGATCTTTGATCGGGCGAGAGGGGGTGCTCAATTCACGACCTTCCCCTCTCGTACCTAAGTTTTCAAGCCGTGACTCTTTGGTGATGACAGATAAGTGGCCTGTGGCACGAGTCTCAGGTTTCCTAAATTTTCTAAAAATATTTAGGTGGCGACTCTGTATCTGGAAAAGCAGTTCATTTTTGGCGTTTTGATTCAAAATCGATTTTTCAGAAGATTTGTCGGACTTGTACTCTTTTGTGTTTATCTATTTCACAGTGCACTTATGGAATCAGATTCAGAACCGCGGGAGTCCGAATTATAAGGCTATCGTATCCGAAAGGAATACGAAAAGTCTAGCTACATTGTTTCATCCAAAGTAATTTTGCGCAACACCCAGCGGCGGCAATGTATTCTGCTTCAACAGTTGACAGAGCCACTAAGTTTTGTTTTTTGCAAAACCAAACTGTAACAACCCTCATACTGTTTACCGATTAATGACTGATTGATTACCGATACACATTGATTACCGTTAAACTGAACTGATTATGACTGATAATTGGACTGGTTAAAGTACTGAACTGACTGACTGAAAACTGGAACTGAATTGACTGAGTGTGTATATTAATTTGTATTCTATCTGTTTGATTGATTATTTGATCTGTTTGTGTTTTATGTTTAAACTGCTAATTGAAGACCTTATCGGCGGCCGAACCGGGAATTGGTTAGTGTTCTATGATCCTTAGAATTAATGTGATTTTGTGGTATAATTATCTGAAAACTGTTAGGTATGATTAAATTAGATTAAACATTGATCAATTGCATAGTTTGATTTATTTACCATTTTGCCACATGAGTGGCCCACTACCTAGTCATATTTGAGCCTCATTACACCTAGATCAAACATTTGCTCAGCCATTTCCCTTGTTCTTGCCGACTAAGAGAGGAGATAGGAGAGAATTGAGTTCATTTTTGTTGAATTGGCTTGAATTGCTTGGAATTGAAGTGTAAATTGCCAATTGGACTCCTAAACCTTGAATACAAGACTAAGGTAGGACATTCATCTTCTTGTTGTTGTCATAGAATTAATTCTTGCATGATTCATGCTTCAATTGTAGAGTTAAGTCTTGTTTTAGTTCATACATGTAGGATTAGAACATAATTCATGCATGTATGTTTGAATTGATGAGTTTTGAGTTGAATTCATGGAAAAATTGTACATGCATGTTCATAATTAGGCTTGAGTCCATGAATTCATCATGTTCTTGAAGAAATGAGTCCATCTGAACAAGCTTTGAAGGTTGAATTTGGTTTGAATCCATGCATGTTTGCATGTTCTTCATATTCTTGAAAATGGGTTTGAATATGGTTTTAATTGACTCACCTTTGGGGCTTGAATTCATAAATTGAGCTTTGAAACTTGTTATACATTGAATTTAGCTATGTTTTCCAGAATTTGGGCCCAAGAGGTCGAGTTTGGAGT